TCCACATTTTTCATTATGACAAAGTTGCAATTTTGCTCGAGGAGCCCGTCAGGGTGTTTGGAAGATGTATGGAGACTGGCTGCTCTGCATTAGGGAGAGCCGAGTCTTGCTAACCTCATGCTAACCTCTACGCTGGCTAACCAGATGTTAGTGGCCTCAAAAAGTACTCTCAACCCCAACCCCCCCCCCCCCCCCCCCCCACCCTATTCCGACAGAAACATTTATTCACTATTAGAAGCTGTTGTCGGAAAGCGAGTTAATTTTAACCACAATTCCAGTTCTGGAATTTGGGAATTTCGCAGCAAACAAGCTCTGGAGCCAAAAAAGCGCATGGGGTTTGAACCGCAAAGACTCGTAGTGCTCAACAAGCTTCATGCTAGCAGTTACAGGAAGCAAGATGCCTTTAATGAGGCCGAGCTGGAAACGGGCCTTAAAGGAGCTGGGGGACTGCGGTGAGAAACACTCTGAAGGACAGTGCGTGGAAAAGTGCCAGGGTAATTTTTAATTTCGACTGGTTACGAGACATCCAAAACAGATCATTACGCTTGGCTCTGAGTGTTTTCACTGCAATTGAAGTGTGGAGACAAACAGAGCTGCCTAAATAACAGGAGCTCGTTCATATCACGCCCGGGCGTGCTCTGGCCTCTTTGGGTCATAGGATTATTTTATATATAGTGACTTGGGACTTAATGTCTTACGTTTGATCTGACAGGAGGTGCTGAATGTGAGGAATAAAGTGCAACTAGCCATATAATGGTTAGGGATGCGTACATTGTCAAGTTAATATTTTTTTCATTCATTCATTTTCCTTCAGCTTAGTACCTTTATTTATCAGGGGTCGCCACAGCAGAACGAACTGCCAACTATACCAGAATATGTTTTACACAGCAGATGCCCTTCCAGCCACAACCCAGTACTGGGAAACACCCATACACACTTGCATTCACACACCCTCATACACTAAGGCCAATTAAGTGCATGTGTTTGGATGTGTGTGGGGTAAACCGGAGGAAACAGAGGAAACTGATGCGAACATTGGTAGAACATGCAAACTCCAGACAGAAATGCCATTTGGTCTATCCAAGACTCAAACCAGCGACTGTCTTGCTGTGAGGCAACAGTGCTAATTACTATGCCACCATGCCACCTGTGTTACATTTGCAATTTTATATTTAGATTTTATTTACTGTAATCAGTGTTTGGTGTAATTAGTTGCAAAGTTATTTACTGTAATTAAATTACTTTTCTGCTGAAAAAGTAAAGTAAGGGATTACTCATACTTGCCTAATTTAGCTACCCATACTTGCCTAAATACTAGAAATCAGACAGTTCTGTTAATGAAATTAAATGAATAAAGAAAATTTGCCATTGTGTGTGAGTGTGTATGGGTATTTCCCAGTACTGGGTTGTAGCTGGAAGGGCATTGGCTGTGTAAAACATATGCTGGATAAGTTTGCGGTTCATTCCGCTGTGGCCACCCCTGATGAATAAAGAGACCAGGTCAAGGAAAATATATGAATGAATGAATGAATGTTAACTTTTATTTAGACAATTGCGCATGTTTAAGAAACTATGAATTGAGTCGTAATTTATTATATGGCAACATGGTATAAATTTAGAGCAGCATAGTAATTAAATGTATATTGTTTTGGTCAATGTATTTATTAACATGAATTAATTACTTATACTTATACAGCATTTATTTATCATAGTTCAACATTTACTAAAGTATTATTAACATATAAATTCATGTTTTGTTAACATTATTAAGCACTGTGAGTTAACATGAACTAACAATGAAAAAATGTATCTTCGTTAACTGACATGAACAAATACTGCAATTAATGTATTGTTCATGGTTTGTTCATGTTAGTTAATGCATGAACTATCATTATTAAATACAACCTTAATGTAAAGTGTTACCATTGTTCAAATATTTTGCTTAATTTGATTTTTGGACTAAAGAAGATTAGGATTTTTTTTCTACCCGAATAAGCTCAAGAAACCGTGTATTTAGTGAGAAGGTATTACTGGTATTTATAAAATATGAGGTTATTACTTTGAAACATTTTCTATGTTTAAACATATAATATTTACCTTTTCTTAAGTGTAAATATTTTGTAATTCATCGCCTGTTTGACTCATTTAAATGAATGAGCTTAATGTTTACATTCTATTGAGATTTATTGAGATTTTAAGTTTCTCTCTCTCTCTCTCTCTCTCTCACACACTCTCTATCTATCTGTCTATCTATATAAAAAATCTAATATGTAATATTAAAATAAATATATAAAAATGTACAAATTCTGATGTATAATATAAAAATTTACAAAATCTAATATATATATATATATATATATATATATATATATATATATATATATATATATATATATATATAATATTAAAATAAATATATAAAATGAACAAAATCTAATATATAACATTAAAATAAATAAATAAAAATGTATAAAATCTAATGTATAATATTAAAATAAATATAAAAGTACAAAATCTAATGTATAATATAAAAATAAATAAATAAAAATGTACAAAATCTAATGTATAATATATAAATTAATATATAAAAAGTACAAAATCTAATATTAAAATAAATAAATGTACAAAATCTAATATATAATATTGAAAATTAATATATAAAATGTACAACATCTAATGTATTATAAAATACATTTATTGAAACATACTAAGTCTAATATGATTATGATTAAAATTATTTTATTAATGACATATATTTCTTATTAATACCGTCTTTCAACATAGAAAAGTCTTAGTTTTAGTAATATTATTTTTTCATTACTGCTAGTGTTTTTTTTCATCATGTTATTCTTATTAGACAATCCTGCTTTAGACGATAGAAAACTTTATTGAATTCATAAATCAGAGCCTTGCAAAAGACCAGTGTCAATTTTTACTGCAAGACATCAGAGCGAAAAGAGAAAGGTGAACTTGTACCCTATGCTGTGCTCTTATTCTGAGTTATGGCGGGTTGCTGGATGAATGTAGTTTTTTCTTCTCAGATGTTTTGCTCTCCTGCTGGTGTCGTCTGGCGAGTGAAGGCCGAGCCACAGGTGTCACGATATGATAAACATTAACACATCATAGAGGAGCCCTGTCTTTCCCCATTGTTTCCTTTTCCTGCAGCAGCACCAATTGCGCTGACAGGACACATGCTCAACATTTGGGAAAAAGAGAGCTGCAGATTTTTGTGTCTGTGCCAAGCATGACATACGTTTCATTTTCTCCTTTTTTATTTTAGAGCGAGACGAAACCCCCCTCTTTCTCAAGCAGCATCTATCCAGTTTCAGCTCTTTAATTGCTTTGGCTCAGACCTTTGGGGGTTTTTTTCATTGTCTTCCTCTTCTCATGAAAGAAGCGGAAGGCATTTTAGCACTGATAAAAAAAGTTTGCCATAGTTTTTTTTCAATGTACATTTGTTTGATGGTAATAGTGTTCTGACTTGTGTCAGATAAAAGTTAAATGAGGTGGCACTCCTCTGCTAATTGAGCATTTTTATTGTTTATTAAAATTTAATTAAATTAATAAATGTAATTTAATACAATGTTTTTTTTTAATAAAGCAAAATTTTGAATATTGAAATAAATAAAACCATTTTATTTGTTTTTATAGATATTAAATAACTGTATTGTACTTATATTTAGTTAGATTTTTATTATTTATCATGTATTTATTATTTCCCTATCTCGGGGAAACATTCATACACACTCATTAACTATGAACAATTTACCCTACCCAATTTACCTGTACCACATGTCTTTGGATTGTGGGGTAATCCGGAGCACCCGGAGGAAACTCACGCAAATGCGTGCAAACTCCACACAGAAATGCCAACTGACCCAGCTGAGACTCAAACCAGCAACCTTCTTGCTGTGAGGCAACAGCACTACTGCACCATGTGTCACCTCTTTGCAATCTTAACTAAAATAAAATTACAGTGCTGTTTAAACTTTGCTAAATAACTTTGAAATGTTAACTGAAATGTTCAATTTTATTTACTTGTATTTATTTCTAATTGTATTTTGACACTCCTGCTATTTGGCCATGTTTAACGTTTACAGTAATTTTATTTTTTAGGTAAGATTGCAAAGTTTATTGTTCATTTGATACTGAGCCATTTTTTGTCATTTATAACGAGTTTATAAAGCATAAATAGTCCTCACTTTAGATTAGGTCACAGAACTGCATGGAATTGAGTTAATAAAGCATTTATTATTATAAAGCATTAATATTAATAGTTACCATTACTATATGCATGAATAATAAAATATACATATGTTTATTTGAAGAGTTTATTAATCATTTACTAACTCATTCTGAATGATCTTAAAAGCCACCAACTACTTTTAAATACAAATGCTTTGAAAATAATGCAATACTGAATTTAGTAAAGTAATAAAGTATGAAAATACAGTTATTAAGCACATTTCAAATGTGCTTATGAGTCAAGAATAGAGTGTTTGTATCTGTTCTTATAAACTGCTAACATAACATAGAGTTAGTGCTTAACAGATAATGAGTTCACTATTTGTTAATGCTTAATAGATGATTCATAGTGTGTAGTTATTATAAAGTGTAACCCATTTTTGTATTTTGTTATTTTTAATTTTCTTTTATTGCTTTTTTTATTTTTACATATTTTTTCAAATAAGTAATTGATTAAATTCAAACTTTTTATTTTTTATTTTTAATAATATAAACGTTTTACAGTCATTAATTATTTTATTTATTATTTCTACATTTTTTATTCTGTATTTTATATCAATTTTTTTCTTTTAGATTTTTATTAAAACATTATACATTTTCTTGACTAATCTTCATTAAATGAGGAGCTATTTTAGTTTTTTATTTATTTTATTATTTTTACTGCTTATGTTCTTTATTTCACATTTGCCAGCTTGCACTGCGATATAGACCAATTGAAATTGATTCTGTTTAATGCTCCAGCATTTGTTTTGCAGATTTCTGCTTTCTGTGATCCAGTCACACCATGCCTGAAGGTGCGGGACGCAACAGCCAGAAAAAAAACAGCAACCAAGGTCAGACGCCAATCAAATGATATCAGTGTTTGGAAATCTGAGCACGATTACGTAACATCCCAATCAAAAATATAACCGGCAGGAACCGTTCATTCATGCTCTGATTTGACAGTTTCTTTGTTAACTGTTTTGGTTCAGTTCAAACCCACAAACCAAAAGCCTGAGAGAAAAAAAAAAAACAACAATGACGAAAGATTTCTTTTCCAAAATATTGCAAATTTTCAATGGAGATAAGCCATCAAGCCTGTCCCAGATAGGAGTGTCTATTAGAAAAGAAACGCTCGCTGTTATCAGGTTCAGATTTCAACGCCCTTAAGATATTTTTGGACCTCTGCCTTTTTTACAAAGAATGGTTGCTTACATTATCAATTCAAACAAACTAAACACGACTGTTGGAAATGTGCTGACAATCGCAGTTGTTTAGGGCTGGTCACCTCTCTTTGGATTGGACTTTCTAAACAATTCCTGATTGAACAGTTTCGGATTTGAATTCTGCATTTTCTGTCATATAGAGTATGGACTATGTCAAGTTGCTGTCGATATGATATACATAACATAGCTAAAAAGCAATAGATCACTCTTAATTCATATACAGCTATGGGGAAAGATTAAGAGAGCACTTGAAAACAAATTTTTGTTGGATTGAATAGCAGCCTTGTCACAATAATCAATATATTGACTTATCGCACAACATGTGAACATGTCCTCAATCAATTTTTGGTGATGCAGTATATATGGCCCATACAAAAATTAATTCTAGACACATTTCAGCTGATTGTGCAGCCTTTCTATCTCTGTTGGAGGTGTCAGTGACAGTATGGGAAAAATAAAACTCTATAGTTTTTACTATAAATTACTATAGTATATTTTCATGTGGGTGCCTGATGAAAGAAAATCCAATGCGTATTATTAAATTGTTAAAATGACTAAAATTGAATGTAGGATTCTCAAGAATAAAATATTATGTGTTCTTTGGAAGAGTGTACTTGCATTATAATGCCATTGTAGTGTCAAAATGGTCTTAAAATGACAATAATATTGTTTATCACAATCAATTTTGATGCTAGATATCGTACCACAAAAAATTAATTTTGTGACAGGCCTACTGAATGGATCTATTAGGTATGGCTTTGAGTAAAGTCTTAATGTTAGTTAAGAATTAAAGGCAAAATCTTTACAAAAATGTGATTCAAATCTTAATGTTTATGAGTCTTAAAGCTCTGTTGATATTTCTTTCCACTTTCAAATAAAAAAGTACTGTCATTTAGAGCATTTTGTTTCAGAAATGGGCAAATTCTAAAGTCACACTGCACTTTTCGCCTCATATACTTCCATTCATACGCATGTGAATACGACAGACTGAAACGCAAGTTCGTCAGACAAGTTTTGCAGTTTGATTGCAAAGTTCAAGGCTGGTAAACTTTAACCTTTGAAATCTCATCACAAAACTGCATGAGAAAAAAAACAAAAATTAAAACATGACTTCACTGTACAGAAGTTCAAAATCTAGAGCAGAGATGCCCAAATTAGGGCTCGTGCATGGGCCAAAGTTGGCCCTTGGTAATTTGGACCGCCATCCCATTTGAGAAAGTTTTTTTTCTTTTTTTTTTCTTTTTTGGTAGTTTGTTTTATTGTAGAGCTCCAAAAAAGCAAGCTGAAATTAAATGTTTTAATTAAATGTTGTAAATAAATCAGATTTAATTAACACACTGTGACTAATGGATAGAAGACTGGTGCAGCTTTACAAGTGTATTCGGAATTGATCTCCATTGTTTAAAAAAAGAGGAGTTATGTTTTTACTGTAATAAGTTCATTAAATAAAAAAAAAAAAAAAAATAATATATATATATATATATATATATATATATATATATATGATTAAAGGTATAAATTTAATAAAAATAAATAAACTAAAAGATTACCCTTGGCTATTTTATTGTAATAAACTGCTTGGTTGACCTACTTATGTAAAATCAGCTCAAACAACAGCATTCTTCAGATTTTTTTTGGGACAACTTAATTGTTTTATGTTTAATCCACTTAAATATTTCAACTAAATCAAGTTATGTTGGAACAACTTGAATGAAATGTGTGGAACCCTGCCCTTTTTACAGTGCAGTTTGGTATATTTACCTTCGGCCCAAGTTTGGTTTTTGACCCTTCATAAGAAAAGGTTTTAAGCACCAATGATCTAGAGCAATTGCTCACTTTTTTGTCTAAACATTCTGTTTAATCCTGCCCGGCTGCCCCTTTTTGCAGTTTCATACGACAGAATTTTGCACGCTCAAACTCCAACATGACTGCAGCATAAGTGATATTGCTTTCTTAACCCCTCTGAAGATATTGTTTGATTTTGAAATTGATATGGATGTCTACAAACAAATATAAACATATTCAAAAAGATGATTCATCTTTATTTTGAATCAGAAAGCTCTAAATGTTGGTTTGTGTATGCATAAAATAAAAGGTGTGTTGTTGATATTAATTTTAGACAACACAATAGCAATAATGTAGTTTTAACTACTGACTAAATAAGAAATATATTTTTTTGCTGGAATTTTTTTGCCTTTTAAAACATTTGGTTTACATATGGAATAATGACATACATTTAAATTATGACATATTTAGCATAACATAACATTGTGTACATGAAAGGAGGAGTACGGAGAAGATGAGAAAAGAAAAAAGGGAAGGAAATTGCACAATTCCAGCAAATCCCAAAGAATACTCTGCCGGTCAAAAGTTTGGGGTCAGTAGGTTTTAAATGTTTTAAAAAAGCTTATCCTGCTCACCAAGGCTGCATTTATTTAATCAAAAATACAGTACGAGTTGTAAAATTGTGAAATGTTATTGCACTATAAAATAACTGTTTAAAAGTAGTTTAAAATTTAATTTACTTATTTATTCAGGTGATTTTAAAGATAAATTTTCAGCTTCATTACTCCAGTCTTCAGTCACACGATCCTTCAGAATACACTCTAATATTAATTGTTATTATTATTATTATTATTATTATTATTATTATTGTTGTTATTGTTATTTAGATTTAATAAATGCCACCTTGATGAACAGAATAATTAAAAGAATTTAAACTTTTGACCGTTGGTGTATATGATTGTATTAAATTGTCCTTGTGCATTTAAGCAGGATTTTAAAGGTCATTTTTTAGGAATTATCTATTTTTTCTATCACAAAAATGTTGTTATTTTAATAATTGTGTGTTTGTTTATTTGAAATCTGAAAAATGTTATCAGATGGAATAAAATAAATAATAATGTTTTACTCAAACCCATAGGCCTACCTAGAGTAATAAATCCACAAAATTTTCAAGTGCTTTCTTAATATTTTTTCTTAATATTTTAACATTTGTTCACAGCTGTACAGTCAAACCCTAAAAAAAACAAAGGTCCTGGATTTTGTAGTACTGAGCTCTGTTGGCATGTGATGACTGAACAGGGTTACCAAAAAATAAAAACAACCCATGGCAAGTGGGTAAAAGTAGGAGAGTTACTTGGCAACCATGTGGCTGGGCTCTGTTGAGCTAGTATAGCACCTCTAGAAGGAAGTGCCTATGTTTGGTTTCAGCGTCAGGTGCAGACTGGCACAGCAGCACACAGGAAGCTCGAGCACCCACATACACTTATGTAGATAAACACTCACTTGTTGAGCTCAGATTCCCTCACACTCTTACTCTGTGAGTCATCGCTGTTACGCAGCAGCTTCTGAACTCTTCTAAGGGTTGGGGTTGTCATTTCTACAAATACAGGGGCATATCAGACTTTTAGTAATATGTTGTGCTCATGTTTAGGCACTTTAAGAGATTTTTAACCCCCCAAAAAACACAATGAAGATATTTTGAAGAATGTTGGAAACCACTGGTATCCATTGCGTTCAGCAGTACTTAATTAGTTTGACTATGGATGTCAATGGGTTAATCAGTTTCAAAATATTATCTTTTAACCTCAACAGGTGAAAGAAACTGAGCAAATAGGTTAAGGGTGTGCAAATGAGGAGTAAAAGTTATTTTTGGGTGACCCATTGAACTATATTAACTTTGACAACATTCAATGCCAAGACTACAAAACAGATAGAATCATGAGGTAAATATTAATTGCTTGATTGATTTTGACTTTTAAAAAAACTAATTAAATATATGTTATTGTGTAATAAAGGGATTGTTTACACAAAAATCTAAATTTACTTACTATTTATGCACACTCGAGTATCTCCAAATCAATATGAGTTTCTGTATTCTGTTTAACACAAAATAATATATTTTAAAGAAACCTGAAAACCTGGAACCACTGACTCCTGTAGTTGGAAAAACATGTTCTATGGAAGTCGATGGTTACAGGTTTTCAACTTTCTTCAAAATTTCTTATTTTGTGGTCAACAGAAAGGATCTCTAAAAGGTTTGGAACAAATGGAGGGTGAGTAAATGATGACAAAATGTTCATTTTTGGGTAAACTACGCCTTTAATATTGACAAGAGTTTTTGGTTAAACTATTTTGACATTTTAGTGTCTACTGAAAATCATGTTAAAATGCATTTTGGTCATTATTTTTGACTTACAGAAAAATAAATACATAATTAAATTTAAAGAAAGAAACAAATGCTAAATAAAACTGAATACATTCTGTCACAAAAACACAAACAAACAACATCAGCAAATATTTAGCCTTTTGTTGTTTTCATGCATGACCCATATGTACAGTACATCATTCACAATAAAGTTTGGATGAAGATTTTTTTAAATAATTTTGAAAGATAACAAGGCTGCATTTGTTTTTAAAAATGCAATAACATAATAATATTGCAAAATATTATTGAAATGTATTACTATTTCTTTTTCTATTTGAATTTAAAATCAAATTGTTTCCTGAATTTTAGATAATAATCTTTTAGTTTTGATAAAATTGATGCAATCTAGTTGTATTAAAAGTATTTATTTAAAAAAAAAAAAACTGACCCCATACTAGATATGTGTATATTTAGCAGGGGTGACCTTTGTGGTGTCATCAATCTTGAGCTTTCCGTTGTAAGAGTACCAAGATATGGGAGGTCAGCTTCTTCCCCATAAATTATTTCTGTTTATCTTGTTGATGTCATCAACATTCCTATTTAAGAAATATGTTATGTTGAACAGGTATTCTGAGTGAGGAAATGGGTAAATCTCATACATATGACCAGGTTTATATTTTATAAAGAATGCATACATGCATACATACATTACATACATAATACCAAACAAATTTAAATGGTCCTTTACAAAAAGGAATTCACCTGGATTGTATACATTTATTGATACTTCACAAAAAATGAAAATGGACTTACCCTCAGTGATTCTAAACCTTTACTGTATATGTTTCTTTATTATTTTGAACACAAAAAGAAAGCTGGAAACCTGTAACCATTGACATCCATAGTATTGTTTTCATTGATATCAAGAGTTACAGGTTTCTAGCTTTCTTCAAAATATCATATGTTGTGTTCAACATAACAAACTCAAATATTTGAACAAGTGAAGGATGAGTAAATATGACTGAATTTTCATTTTTGGGTGAACTGATCCTTTTTCTTTCTTTCTTTCTTTCTTTCTTTCTTTCTTTCTTTCTTTCTTTCTTTCTTTCTTTCTTTCTTTCTTTCTTTCTTTCTTTCAGCTTTCAAACTTAATACACACTTATTTGGAGGTTTCTTGTGTTGTTGTCTTGGTTTTAAATACAGAAGGGCTCTACAGTATTTCCCGGCAAGAAAAAAACTGACTTGGTTTTGCGGCTTGCACACTAATACACACCTAGACAGGATATCCTTCTGTAAGAGAGAAGTGTGTGCATACGAACAACTCGCTTGCATCTTTTGCACACATCAGATACGGTGCGTGATTCCTGTCAGCTTTACGACTGATGAGGTCTACAGTTGTTCGGTTTCTGCTGGAATAAGATTCAGTTCAGAAATCATAGGAGACCTGATGTCTGTTGTAGGAAATTGCTCAAAATTAGCCACCAGCGAGACGACACAATTCCCAGCAGTGCTGCAGCGTATTGCGGATCAGGTATGTGATATCTGTCTCTTGGCTTTCGCTCATCTGGACAAACGTTCTCTACAGACCTCCGTAATCTACAAAACAGGCCTGTTTCTCTGTTAGCCGAGCCTTGTTAGGGCTAAAGAAAAGAGCTGAGCGTGCACATTAGATTTCTGACAGAAACACCACAATTACTGGAACTTATAACGGTAGATGTATCCCTGACTAATAATTTATCACAATTAAGATCATTTTAAGGTGTCTTTTACATTATTTTCTTATGTCATTATGAAAATTTCGCAAGGAAATGAGCTCTAATGTATTATTTCAGATCTCTGAAACAGCTGCACAATTATTCTCTTTTCCATTTAGAATCATATAATTACGAAGAACAGAATATGTGTGTTGGCTCATGCACACATTCATCGGCTTAATCTAGAGATGCTTCAGTTTTGTTGGACATCCCGAGCAATTTATCAACTCTAATTCGTTCAGTGTGCTCTTTAAACTTAATGACGGGGATAAGAAAATCCATTGGGATGAGGTTTAGGGTGAAACACTCCCCTGCATGTGGTTCTTCTGTGCCACATGAAGGTTTCCGTCTTCATGCCCAAGTAGTGATGGAGATCGCTGCCTGTTTGCTTTCGTTCCAGAGGATGCTCTGGGTTTACATTGTCACACTTCATGCATCTGTCTGGATGAATTTATGCTGCTCTTTGAACGTGCTCCTGCACCCAGCACAGCTGATCTCGAGATCGGAAAGCAAAGTATGGCTGGCTGTAGATGATTTCACAAAACATTTTTCCTCCTTTTTTTTAATGTGCGACTGCCGCCACTGTGGTGCTGATCTTGGACTGTGGCCAGCAGAAGATAAACACATGCTTTCATGGTCTTTATGAGTGTGTTTAAATCACATTTCAAGCAATCAATATTACAGAAGTTGTGTGTATGAATGGAGAAAAGGCTGCGAGTGGTTCCAGCTATCGCTCAGAAGAAAATTTGATGGATGAAAGGCAGACTTGGCGAGGAAGCGAGCGCAGAGAGTAACAGTTGACTGCGTCGCCCTGCCTGCGATGTCAAAGGAAATGGAGGATTGTTCATCTCAGCTCTGTAACTGGGCCACCATTGTGACGAGCACAGCTCAGCATTGAGTGTTGAAACAATGCCCGTCCTCACAGTGCTCTGTACCGGCCGGTGTTCGCTTGCCTTGACGACCAGACTGTTGTGTTCGGCTTTGATACGGCTCTTTAGGCAGAACGCTGCTGCTGTTTTGTTTTAGATGTTCTGGTCGTCTGAGGGCACGGCTGATTGAATGACTTCTGTGTTCTCAGGCTTAATCGTCCAGCAAATTGCAGTCAGGAAGTTGTGATTTTAGTTTCCTGTCTATACGGGGTGTGTACGGCACTGTTCGATTGACAGCCGCTGTGGCTTTGCTGCAAACTAGCGTGTTGTAGTTTTGCAGAGTCACACCTTTGAGGCAGGAAGGAAAATATTTGCAGGAAACACTTTGCAAGCACTCACAGTTTGTCTTTGTCCTTAAGAAGTCTTATCTGTATAATTACTAGTCTTTCACACTGCTCTGGTGAGGTCTTACTTCACTTTGAAATGATGAAATGGCTATCCCACAGTCCTGATCTGCTTGACCCAATTTGGTGTGTGAGATGGCTCATTGTCCTGCACAGAAATTGCTGACTGATTGAGCCATAAAAACAGGAAAGAAGAAAAAGAATGATGCAAAAGTAGCACCTGATCAACATTTGCATTCACTCCTATATCTTGTACGTACAGTATGCCATGTATCTGTAGGCTATAATGTTGAGTTCAATCCAAATGCAACAAAAGTTGACTTATTTGCTCTTGCATGACAAATGCAATTGAAATTAATCCTACAAGATTGGGGCAAACATGCTTGTCATTCTGTATCATTCTAGCCACCCGCTGGAAATTCACTTCTGTTTACACACATGCACCTTGTATGTAATCTGCAACTGCAAAACCTTATTTTGCTTTTGTTGTGAACCCAGCTAAAGAGGCTTAACTCCTGGTACAGCAAACAATTCCAGCTGCAGTGCTGTGCTGTTTGCCGATTGAGATGCAATGCATTATTCTGTTCTCATTTTATTTGTTGTTGGGGTTTTTTTTTTTTTGAGGACGACCATCTTTTTTGAGCCTTTAATGAGTTAGTTACAGTACATTTGAAGATACAAATGCGAAACCTTTTCTTAAAAAAAATTTCAATGACATGAATTTAAATTTTTAATGACACTTAGCATCTGAACTCTACATTTGCAAAGATAAGATAGAATATCTCCGATGTTGAATGATCAGCTTCTTTTGCTATGACTGAAAGGTTCTTGCCTATTACCTTTATCTACAAAACATAATGAAATAAGCTTAAAACTGCTGTTTTACTCCTGTTAGGATACAGTAGTAAGCTGTGATCTTAAAATTTAGGAAAGTGAAGTATGTAAAATAACAATATTTTAATATTGGTAATATTATATTATTCATTCATTCATTCATTTTCTTTTCGCCTTAGTCCCTTTATTAATTTGGGATCGCCAAAGCGGAATGAAACGCCAACTTATCCAGCAAATGTTTTACACAGTGGATGCCCTTCCAGCTGCAACCCAACACTGGGAAACACCCATTTACTCCTATTCACACATACACTACGAACTATTTATCTTACCCAATTCACCTATATCGCATGTCTTTGAACTTTAGGGGGAAACCAGAGGACCAGAGGAAACCCATGCCAACACAAGGAGAACATGCAAACTCCACACAGAAATGCCAACTGACCTAGCCGAGGCTCGAACCAGCGACTTTCAAGCTTTGAGGCGACAGCTCTACCCACTGCACTCCGCGCCGCCTGATAATATATATAATATATTTATTTCTAGACACAGACAAGTATGAGCACAGTTGAGATGCTTTTAGTAAGCTATTTTCTGAAACTTAAGGTTAAATTTAAAAGCAACATTATTGTGATATTTGATTTTCTTACTGTTTATTTATTTTACATTTAATGACTTTCTGTATAGGCTGCACGGTGGTGCAGTGGGTGGCACGCGCGCCTCACAGCAAAAAGGTTGCTGGTTTGAGCTTCGGCTGAGTCAGCTGGCGTTTCTGTGTGGAGTTTGCATGTTCTCTCCATGTTGGCGTGGGTTTACTCCAGGTGCTTTGGTTTCCCCTTTCAAGTCCCCAACAAGCCAAGCTAAATTGTCTATGGTGAATGTGTGTGAATGAGTGTGTATGAATGTTTCCCAGTGATGGGTTGCCGCCGAAAGGGCATCTGCTGCGTAAAACATATGCTGAAATAGTTGGCGGTTCATTTTGCTGTAGCAACCCCAGATTAATAAAGAGACTAAGCCAAAAAGAAAATGAATGAATGGATGACCTTCTTTATTGTGTAGTGATCATCCATATAATCTAACTTGTTTCTGTTTATTACTTCTGCAGCTGCCAAGCGCCCCTCCTCTGTGTCCTCGCTGAGTGGGATTGTGAGCCGCATGGCCTCCTCAGGAGGCGCATCCCGCGGGAGCTGCACCTCCGTTAACACAGTGTGCTCTGACAGTGACCGTGCTGCTAGTCTAAGCTCCTCTGCCTCCTCTGCCTCGCTGCAGGATGGACACTCTTCGTCTTCGTCCTCATCGCTCCCCTACGGAGCAGTGCCAGCCTACCCTGGGCCACAGCATAATGGTTCTGATATCAGCCTGGACCTCACCCCTCTCTCCCTGCTGGCGGGAGCCGGTGCCCTCTCCACTTCCACAACAACACTGCCCAAACTTACTCGCCTGGAGAGGGTGGCGTTAGAGATACTGGAGACCGAACAGGCCTATGTGAGGGACCTCAAGAGCATTGTGGAGGTAAGGGATAGACATATCGTCACCTTGGAATTATAAGGTTCTATCTGACATTTTTGTAAAAATTAAGTTATTGACATGTTCTTTTAAAAATGACAACTTATTTACATTAAGGGATGTTTTTTTAATAAGTTGTTTACATTTTAAGACTTTTTTTATTTAAAAAAAGCAAATGTTACACACCTATTGTTAGCTATGGAGCTATGGAATGCAAAAACTTTGAAGCTCAACATCTTAAAATCATTCAGAACGCAGATAGAACCTTATAATTCCAAGTTGATGATATGCTGAACTCTGTTCCTACTGTGTTTTATATTGTAAAATCATTTGTGCATACAATGGAATTTGTAAGATACAGTATTTAATTTCTTCATGGGTATAAATGTTATGCAGTAGTCGTTCTTAATTTCCTTTACCTTGGATAGGTTACCAAGCCTAAAAAAACTTGCATTATTTACTCATACCCATTTAATTCTATTTGGCCCTGTTTTTGGCCCTACATATGAAAAACTTTGCATATCTCTGCTCTAGATGAATGAACTAGAGAGTATCTACTTGCATTAGGTTGTAGAAACCTCAGAGAACAGCTTAGTAAGTACTTAACAACACTCTAGAAACCACCCAAAAAATCTTAGGGTGCATCTAGCAACAGTGTATAACAGATTCGCATACAATTTAAATTGAATTATTTAGCAAACACCTTTAACAAAACAAATTCCAAATTCTTGAATTGCTTGGGTTTGTAATTTTAGGTCCTGGAATTTAACATAGCTGTTTATTTAAGCGGTGAATATTTCAATTCAAAACACAATTTCACATTTAAATTCAGTACTTCATATTCAATTTCCAAATTTCACTACCAAAATATTCAGTTCTGTTTAAAAATACTAATTATAATATTCAAAAAGCAATATTCAGCTCATTGTATTTCAGTTCAAAAAATCACTTCCATAAATTCAGTAGCTCAAATTCAACTGTTAAAATTCGACATTACATCCGGGAGCTGCAGGAAAAGCAATAGATTGCAGATAGCAGATTCAATTCAATAGCTTGCAGATTACTACTTCACTAGCAGGTGTAGATGGAGCAATGAAAGATTTTAGTGAAAAAAGCTAATAACGGCACAAAGGTAGCATGTGATATTAATATCAATGTCTTGGACATTATAAGTAGGCTAATAAAAGGATAATAAGTAGGCCTAAAATGAGTGAAAGATGTTTTTGACATTTATATTTGCCCTGATGTAATGAAAGCCAGCTGGGGATCACGTAAACCTCATTCCTCAGATCTCAAGAGGTGATCCAGCGATCCTTCACCTCCTCGTAGAGCGTCTCGCATTCTGTTATCGAGCTCTGATTGGCCACCGGAGCTAATTGTGGTCAGTGTGTTTGGTGTTGAAATATTGGCTGCATCCAAAACCGCCTACAACTCACTAGGTACTGCATTTGAATTTAAACATACTACTCAACCGTTAGAAATATACTTAAGTATGAATGTGAGCAGTATATTCTGACGCACTACATTTTGTACACCATTTTGTCATGGTCACGTGACCTACCTGCGTCAGTTGCGTTGCTTAACTTCCATTCATGAATTCTCTCACAGGGCATCATGGGATAGCGCAGCATGCATTGGATGCGCTCTTCAGAATCTCACCCAGGTACTTCTCGCGTATTGATTTTTAAATTCTATAAATTCGGACATACTACTCGGCTCACATACTGATTTCAACGTACTATATAGTATGGAAGTCTGCGGTTTCTGATGCAGCCACAGAGTTTTGAATTGTGTTGAAATTGTGTTTTGAATTAAGATATTCCCATCTTAAATAAACAGCTATGTTGTTAAAATGAAGGACCTAAAATTACAAACCCCGGCAATTCAAGTCATTAAAATGCAAGCAGTTGTTAATTCGATGTATTATTTTTTTCAGTTAGTGCTAATCAACAGTTTTTTTTTAGGTTTGTTTTTACCTTTATTGATAGGACAGTGGAGATTGACTGACAGGAAAGTGTGGGGAGCAAAGATAGGGGAAGGATCAGCAAAGAAATCGAACTCGGGTTACCGCGAGCACTTGGGTGCTATGTCGATTCACTAACCACCAGGCTATTAGCGCTGACATTCGACAGGCTTTTTATTTCAATACTTTTGCCATTGATTTTGTTCCATAGAAATCTGAGTGTTGAACTTGCATAGGATGACTTTGAGTGCAAACAGAGTCTATGGTACTGTACGTATGCTATTATCTCTTCTGGTCCAAACCCACCCAGGTGGTGTTGAATTCCTTTGAGCTCTAGGATTGCTCAGTCATGGAAACTCATCCAGATCAGCATTTCAGCCGTCATTTCTGTTCACCCGTCGCCCACCCCGAATTAATCCAGGACTTTGAATATAACCGACAGAAGAGAAAGCCAAGCTCTCTCCTCTTGCCAGCGGCGATTTAAAATGTGATCATTGTGAGATTCTGTTGTGCCATTCATCACACATTCAGGTAGAGCAGAGGAGGTCATGGCACTGGATGAAAGCGGAGATAAATTCAGACTGTCACTTCAAACGCATCTCTGCGCTGCTTTTCGCATGCACAGCGCTGGTCCAGGACAATGATGAGGCTGTTGCTCAGCATTTCAAACGTTACACACAAACAAATCTGAGTGTACTGTAAATATAAGAGACTCTTTGTGGATGCTTTTCAACACAAAATATCCTATTTCCAAGCACAGGTTGCTGGAAGATCAGACCTCCACTGTGACCTCCAGCAGGGGTCATGGACATTCACAAGCACATGCTAGGATTTTACCCTTCCCTTATCTCTTATTAGTTGAATGGTAGTCACACTTCCGGATGTTTCCAAGTTGAAAATCACTTAACAGCCTATTCTTATTGAAAAAAGCATTACTTTGAAGCTGTAAATCACACCTGTCCTTCAGGTTCAGAACTTTTTTAACTGATTTCAAGGGGCTGTAAGGGGGAGTTTTTGCAGATCCTACAATACTGTTCCTTTTAATAAACAGGGATGGATTAAATGAATCCAAGGTAGCAGTTTGAGCTATTTAAGCCAATTTGAAATTCTACAAAAGATCTTTTTTAATGGCATACTCTCATTGTGCTATCCAAACCATGGCCAGGCGCATTTCCCGGTTCATTTGACAAGTGTGAGAGCTCCGAATTAGGCTCATGCGCGGTTCATTGGCCTGCCTTGGCACGGTTGGAAAACATGTGCCAGAGTGTGGTTCGGTTGGGCTTTGGCGTGGTACACTTGTAGTGTTGCTGAAGCGTGTCTGAGCCCGAAACTGAAGACGCAACATCACTTTTAAGGGACTGTTTCATATAGATTTATGAATAATTTTACTTCTCAATGAACACGACCTGTCATAGTTTATTAAAGATGCAAACCCCTCACTGCACCTTCAGCAAACCTCCTAATACCTGCAGCACGTGGACTTTTATGATAATGTATAAGCGTAATGATCTGTTCGCCCAAATATTTGACTGCATGTCACTGCATCAGAAACGGCTAAAATGATATAACTAAAGCAATCTCCATTGTGCCAAGCAAGAGCGCTTCTCTTCCTTTTTTTAAGAAGATATTTATGGGTGATTTATCTATTTTTAATTGTATTTGCTAAACATTTCCAATCAAAGGCATAACAAATCTTACAATAGGATATTCACATTTTAGCATAAAACATGTAAGTAAAATAACAAAGATAAGAACAAGGCGGGTATCATAAAAATTACCACATAGAAAAGGAGTTTAGTGGGACAATCACGCTTCAGCGCGGTTAAAGGCAGCTGTACCTATTGTGAGCACACCCTCAAATGAATGCTGTTCTTTTACTTATATTTGACAATATATTCTTTTATTTGACATATATTCTAATGATGGGCTCCACAAGATGAGCAATTCCATTTTTTTTGTATGATTTCTTAAAGATTATTATATATTGAAGTTATGTTGCAGAAAATTCAGCCTTGCATCACTTGAATAAAATAGATTTTTAAATGTATAAAAAATGGACAAGGTATTTTAAATAAATAATATCTGATAAAAATGTATATTTTTACTGCATTTTCAAGCAAATATATTTGGTTATTTTAAAGATTTGCTTAAAGTAAGTTTAAAAAAATTTTACATAAATTTTGTAACATAGGCTCATTCTGAAAAATAGCATGTGTGGCTGAATTTCGGCTTTAAAATGAACGCTACTGGGCGGTATGACGCTGTTCCTTTTCGTGTTATCAGCTGACCGCTTATCTGTATGAATGAGTTTCCTTTGTGCTACCAGTTTGACCAGTTAGCTCGCTATATATGTCGATGGACAGGAAGAGAGGAGTTGACCATGATGACGGGTTTCGATTCTGGCAAAGAAGGGTTCCAGAAAGCGGGTTAGACAAAAACAGAAGCCAAAAAATAAAATAAACAAGTAATTAACAGGGTGAGAATGTGGTCAAATCTGAAAATGTGGTAAAAATCAGGTGAGGGCTTTTCTTTTTCTGGGTTGCTTTTTAAAACTGTCGGTTGGGTTTATGGAGGTGGTGGGCAGGTCAATCAGTGCTTTTGAAAACAATATAGGTTGGGATTAGGGAAGGAGGAGGGTGGGTCAGTTGATCAGTCAGTTAGCCTGCCAGTCGACAGCGGCCTCTGGTCAATTTACGCAAGAACACCAGGCGTGAATAGCACTCGTGAAAAAATTTGAGATCTAAAAAAGCATACACAGCGGCCTCTGGTGGATTCGCAAAAAAAAAACATTGCTCCTGCAACATATTTGGCGTTCTCAAGAAATGTACATAGAATTACGTTAATAAAATGGGATGCAATTTTATATCCTTATAAAGTAAAGATTCAGTATTAATTCAGATTAATCAAGTTTTTAAATGTGACTTCCATTATTTTAAATCGCAAGAACTTATAAAAGTCTCGTATTCAAGGTTTAAGCTTGATAATAAGTTAAAAATAAATGATCAGACTTGGATGAATGACATAACAACATATTTTGCATAAC